CCCCAAAACCCCAAAACCCCAAAACCCCATTTGATAAAAATACATGAAATTAATGAGAATAAAACTTTAAATTAACAATTATTTTCACATTTCCTTTAATAATTCATTCTTGCTTGATTTTCTAAGTTTAAGTTTCAACTTTGATATCTATGATACAGATCAGCCCCTGCATGCTGTTCATAGTAAGGAAGATACTTACTTCCACCATCCTTAGAACTTTTTCTTAAGTCATTCTGCTTTTTATCTGTTTGCTTTTAACTGCTCTTTCTAAATTTAGCCATTGAGAATTATGTCTCTTTTAGATTAAGATCTACTTTCTTTCCAAAGTTATTAACACTGCTTTTCCTTTTAGAGAACTTTATTTGACTTAAAGCTATTTGGGGATTGATGCCACTTAACAAAGTAGTTATCTATTTGGTATCTTTGCGAAATTCAGATATTTTAAAGTCACCAAGAATATTTTGAGACAACTTGGTTTGAGATTATGATAGGGGGTTAATGCTTGAGGCCTTAAAATTCATGTTTTTGTACGGCTGTGTTGAAAGACTTATCTTTGGATCAATCATTCTGTTTAGAGATGAGGGAGTTTTACAAGTCTATTCATCAGAAAGTAGCAATTCACCTGGTACCTTCTTACTCTAATTTTACTAATGTTTAAATTTTCCAACCAAAGGTGATATTTCTGTTCTTAATGCGCCCTTAGCTGAGAATACTGGGGTCTATGATTAAATAATCAATTTCTTTTCATCTCTTTATTAGTAAAGCTGATTCAACTTTTAAATAAGCTATTCTTCATTCACCACAAATCCACCGCCTTTATCCTAGTTAATTAGTTTTATTTTTTTATATTTTTTGCCCTTAGTTTTCCCATTTTTCTTATTTAAATTTACAAAAGCGAAATTTTGATTCTTTTGCTTTGTCAATGCTATTTGCTACTAAACTTGTTTGGCTACTTACTTAACTATCAAAGCATTATTAGTTAAAATGATTTTCTTTTATTGACTCTTCAAATGAGCATAGGCATCAATAAGAGATGGATTCTTCAAGCCATACACAGATGGTGTCCTAGGTCTTGAATTTGAAACTGATTGTGATTTATTTGAATGTATCCTCATATTATGGAGATCATGAAGAGTTGGGCTAAGCAAAGGTTTGATAACTCTCTATTAGAATTCTTTGACATCAAATGTCTGATTTAAAATATCTTAATTACTCGGGACCCTTAGATAATCAACTTCTAGCAATATTTCCTAATTGTTGTCATCACTAATGATATTATATTAGTCAGTCACTAAACTCTAATAGCAATTTTAATATTCTATAAGATCGAGAGGTCCTTACGCATTATCATCTAAAGTTTTGCTTTGTATTTACTAAGCAAAAGGAGGTACTTCCAAAAATTAATTTTCAGCGTTTATATTTTTCAATTAACTTTCTTACTAATTATCATTTTTTTGTATCTATTCTCCCTTTATAATAAAAAGATGCTTTAATTTATCAATCTTTTTCTTCGCAATTAAACCTCTAAAATATTTAGATACTGTTATTTAAGCATTTGAAAGTCTTTGTTTATGCAGTTGCTTTTTTGTCATTTTATAGATAATGAAGCCCTTTAGATATCTTTGAATAAGTGAGGCTGAATTATGATTTAAATTCATCTTTTACTTTTCATGAATTAATTTGTTCAAATGCTATCTAAAAAGGAATACTTTCATCTATCTCTGTATCATTTTCAAACTAAATATTTTCTTAATCAAAATCTTAATCACAAATTAATATCTTTCTATATTTTCCTTCCTAATCAAAGTTGTCGTCATTCTATAAAAATAAATGTCCAATTAGCTTACCCAATAAATCTATTCTATTATTATTTCTTAAGTAATAAAATTCCAATTTTCTTCTTTTCTCGATAAGACCTAAGGTATTTCTATATAACAACAGCTTTGACTTAGAATTTCCAAATAATCAGGCATTATTGCTGCACTTTCTACTCCATCTTCAATACCCAATTCAATATTTTTTATTCAAACTTAAGTGTTAATTTTCTTTTTTATTTCATGCTCTAAACTTTTTTCCTTGCTATAATAATATACTTAGAAATATATTAGTTACCTTGATGAGATCGGAGATATTTTTAAATTTTAAGACTGCTTTACTCTACTCTAACTCTCAATTGTTCTCTTATTAAGTGTTTTCTCTTAATATCAATTTGCCTTAATATTTTCTTTTAGGATAAATAACTCTTCAAATGCTTTTGAATGCAAACAGCTGATTAATTTAATAATTATTTGGCTTGATTAAATTTTCTTATTCTAATTTTGTAGAATTTCTAAATATAAATGACTTTATCAATATCAAATCTGATTTGCTAATCCAATATCTATTGCTTAACAAGCTTATCTATTTTCTATTTAATATACATTCTCAACTTCTGTTAAATTTTCTCTGCAGCTTTTGATTATTTCAAATATTTTAGCTTGTTTTTTGCTAACCACATTCGAACAAAACTCTGAATAAAAATGACCAAAAGTCTAAGTTTTAGTTTGTAAAACTGCTATTTAGCCTTGTATCTTCTATAATTCTTTTAGATGATAATGGCTGCTAACCATCTTTTGGTATATCTGGAAAGCTTTCTGTAAATCTTAAGATTTAACTTCTTGCCAAATATTTCCAACTAATTTATAGGGTCTTTCATATAAATATTTTACTGAGCTGAAATGATAATTTACTCCTTATTGCTAACTTAGTAGATTTCTTTTTGCTTATATATCAAATCCCAAGTATGGACTTTCTATTGCTAACTTTACAATTAACTTTGCATCAGTCTCGCTTTCAAATCTTAATCATAATCATCATTAATTTTTAAAAGCCTAGTTTCTAAAATCTTAAAGAGTCCATCGGTCATATCATCAAGCATCACAGTTAGCCAATCGGTTCTTTCAGTACAAGCTGGACTCAAATTTACCTCTAAAAGCCAAGGATTAAGTTAGTAATCCAATATAAAATCGAATCCATAAATCTCAAAGCAGTTCTATAAGGTAATAAAATACTAAAATCTTTACAACTCGATTCTCAACTTGGTCCTTAACTGATTGAATAGTCTTAATTATAATTTTATTCATGTCTCTTTTAATCCTTTCTTATATCTTGTTAACGTCTTAATAGTTTTGAGCTCTAAGATACTCGATAAACTACTTTTAACTCATTGCCAGCTCTTCATCTTTATTTTCTACTCTCTAGTTATTTTTCTATATGGTAAAATTAGAAAGATGCTTAAAATTATCTTGTATATCATTTAAACTGAACTCTGAACCACAAATCCTTAGATAATAATCTGAGAACACATGTATCTCTAGAGGATCAAATTAATTTACCAAAACCCATTGCCGAATATCAAACTTTCTCCTTTCAAAGGCTTTATCCGTATGAATTGAAGGCAACTTAAGCAGTAATGGTTTTTCAATATATTTTTAAACAATTTTAGATTGAACCTTCCTCTGATTGTTTTGGAGAAAGTCCTAGCAATTATCAACACAATATATTCCTAATCCTCTTGCATTATAAGATGGCTTAACTATCCATACATTTTTAACTCCATCAACTCTGTATTATGGAAAATTTCTTTTAAGCGTTTTATGACATTTCTAGATTCTATATATGAAGTAGAAATTAGGTTAATCCCAATCTTAAGACACACCCATTTTCTGTCTCAATTTAGGATAATCTTAGTAAGGCTGATTATATTAAGAGAATTTAACAAGTGCCCTCTTTAATTTTTCACTTACTGATGAATCTTCTTTGTCTCCTTTCTCTTAAATTAAATCACTTTTTACCAGATCATTCATATTTTTATTCCTTATTTATTACCTTTAATGAGTTATACGTATCGCTAAAACTTACTTGCAAAACAACAGAGCTTTGTTTAGCATCTTATTTTTTATGACTATTTGCTAATCATCTGGATATCTTTGTATATATTTTAATACCAAGTTTGATTTGACTTCTCTAAAATTATACCCTCTAGGTATTTAGAATTCTTTCCAAATTTATTTAAGTTGCGATCCTAGTTTCTAATAACGTGATAAATTTATATCTATCATACCTGCTTTAGAAAGTAATGATTCTTTTTTATGATGCTAAAAATAGCTGTTTACTAAAAATCAGTATGCAATTCATCAAGCTATTTAAGATCACTTAAATCATATGTTCTTGGGTAGAAGCTATCAACATTGAAGTGATTTTTGGTATTCACTAAATTACTATTAATTTCATTAGCTTACTGTAGAGATTCTTTGTCAAACCAGATTTAGTAGTGAGCTCTGTATTATTTGGAAAATGATTGAATAATTGATGCGGTCTAAGTGCTGTATAATCTGCCTAAATAATTAAAGAATTTTATTATAATTACCTGTTAGTCCTATACTTCAAACTTTATATCAAACATACATGAAGTCAGAATCCTATTCTCAAACCATCCACGGCGCTCCATTCCTCTTCTCAAATGATTTTCATTCGTCTTTACAAGGCACACGATCTAATCTCCCATATTATGGTTTCTTTTAAGATATTAGCGTACAATATCTCTAGGTTTGCAATCTTTATTGTTTTGGTTAGTTTTGATTTATGCTCTCTGCTGATTATACAATATTTACTCTACCTAAAGGTTTCTAACTATCTTTTCCTTTTTAATTTATTTATTCGGAGACTCAGAATTATTGATATTCCTTAATGTGTTCAAGTTATCTGATGTCTTCGTAAATATCCTGTTAGTGCTTTTAAGGGGAATCGTCTTTTAATCAAATTATTAGGGACTCAAATTCATTTAAGAGTATCTACTGTTATGATTTTCTATTATTTTTTAAGAGTTATTTCTTCTAATAGTCTCCATCTGACTTTGGCAATCTTAAGATTTAATCTTATCTTCCTTTATATGTTTGCAGGATTCTATACTAGCTCTTAGTAATTTTTCAGCTTCTTTCTATGTTTATTGAGTTAATTAGGTTTCCTATCTTAAGATAGACTTCATTACAATTCGACTGCTGTTATCGCTATTCCTCAAACTATCTTTCAGCTTTATAAAATGCTTAGCCTCAATCCCAACTTATTTCTCTCTATCATCTTACAAAAAAGAATCTTTTATGGATAAATTTCGTTTTACTCGATAATTGGCTAAATCTCTTGGAGTTACATATTCCTTGCTTATCATTGGTCCGATATTGTTGATAGGCGTTACTATTGAATACCTTTAAGACTATTGATCTTATATTTGTCTGTTGAAATTTGCAGCAGTATGCATCCTTTAAGTATGCTTCAATTTCTCTTTTAACAGTTCAAGATTTTAGTCCTCACTTATTCCAATTTAATTTTTCTATATATCAATCGATGTCACATCATTACTATGATATTTTTACTACTACTAAGTTAAAAGCCTTTGATGGCGTTTGACACTACCTATTTGTTTATTTTCTTAATTAGAGGGATGGTTTTTCTCTAAGTATGGAAAGAGATTATTGATATCCATTGCTTAGTTTGAATTTTAATTGTCTGCTATAGTCTTCCTCTTTTAAGAAGTCATGTTTTTCCTCTTCTCAAAGGATTTATTGTTTAATGTCTCGTTAAATAAAATGTCTAATGCTTTAACCTAACTCTCGAGATATCCCCCACCTGATTACTGATAATAATTGCTATTGAGGAAATTCTATCTTTTTTATATAAGATTTTGCTTTAAACTCTGACTATACTATACCAAACCTATGGACTAATCCATTTTCTATTGCTGTGAACTGAGTAATAAATGATGATTGTTAATGGTCAGCCTTCTATTTTTCTTTTTCTTCTACTTAAGACGCTTGCTCATAAAAATCAAATCACTCTGCTTTTATTATTAAGTTCTTCCCATGTTACTGCCATTCTCTTCTTTAATTCTTGTATTTTTAACTTCACTTCTGTATTAGACAATTTCATTCGGATCTGTATCAAGCACTTCATCAGTATGAAATCTAGCATCTTTTTAATTCTCAACACTATCTCCATAATCATTATTTTCTTAAGAGCTACCCTAGCAAAAACTGTTAATTTCTCTTGCTCCTTCTCAATGCCTTTTATATATACCAATCGCATGGCTCATATTCATCAACTAGGTCTGATAATCTGAAATGTTATAAGGCATGATAGACTTATAATTCATGTTAGGCTTTATAGGTTCAGAATCTTTATTATCAAAGGAAAGCCTTCTCCTTCTATTATCGCTTGTAACAGGAACCTTTGAATTTTCTTGAATTTGACTTTAATTTTGGTTTATATGATTAACTACTGAACTGTTGTTAAGACTTTGCTGAGAAAACAAGTCACTTCAATTTTCACCTTAATTTACTCGGTAGAATGTTTGGTACGGCTAAATAGTATTTGCGTTCTTAGAAGTTTTCTCCCTAGATTTGCCTAATATTGAATAATTTCTAAAACATATGAAAATTACTTGACTTATTATGAATCGCTGACATTAATTATTTTTATAACTATTATAAGAAAGCCTAAATTCTAATTTTAGTTTAAAGGGGTTTTGGGGTTTTGGGGTTTTGGGG